CTTTCCCATTCTACTTAAAAAAAAAAAAAGCAACAAAAAAACAACAAACCCCCAAACAAACAACAACAGCAAACTACCACAAAAACCTCCAAACTGATTTCAGTAATTTAATTTCAGGATAAATTCTTCCTGCTGGGGGAATATAATTAAAAAAAAAAAAACAAAACCAAAAACTTTTTAATCTTTTAATCTTCTCAGAAAGGTGTTTTAAACCATGTGACGTGAAAATGCTGCTCAGATGGTGTATTTCAGCCCAGAACAAATGTGGAAGTGTACGTATACATAATGTGCTTGTGCGGGTGTATGTAGCTTTCTAGATGCTCTAATCAGATAAAGGAGGATGTCACCATTGAGATTATGACTCAAGACTAGAAGGTATGTTTTGATGGAAGTTTAGCAAAATCAAACACAGAATGAATTTTTCAAAATTTATTGTAGTTAAAACTTTTCTTTTTCCCTAGCTTTTGGAAGATCTCTTGCAGGAATGAAAACCCAAAGAGAAAGGACACTGGTTAATGCATGCAAATCTGTAATGACTGTAAAGAGCAACTAGTTTTATTTGAACAGTAAAAGCTTCATAGGATTCAGCTGAAGTGAAATTGTTTAGATCAGCTGGAGCATTTTTATTAGGATAGCACAATGTTGAACTTATAAACACATTTGTTTTACATGTTAAGATAAAAGGCTGTTTATTGGTAAAAGATGGGGTTTTTTTTAAATGACAGTTACGACCTTTAATGTGTGATCTGTAAGCTATTATCTGATTAATTTTGGCCAAAGCTATGGAAGAGAAGCATTTGGAGTGGGAAGCATACCCAAAAGAAACAACAAAAAATAATTAGAAAAATTGCATAGCTTTCAGTGAGTCCAGGAAACCTAGGCCTAGTCTTGGAACAACGTTTAGAGCTGGGTGGTCTAAAGCTGAACTAATGTTCAAGAATTGTGTAGGTAATTATGATTTTTTTTAATTTTTTTTCTTTTTTTTTTTTTTTGTGATATTGGTAGTACTTCCAAGTTTTGGGTGGTGGCCGAGTGGCATGCAATCAATTGTCATGCCTAACTCTGATTAATACAGATCAAAAATGAGGTTATTTTGCAGTTTAGATTTTTTTTTTTCTTCAAATTTCATTTTCAAAGAACTGTGGGAAAGGAGGGGTATGTATGGGAACAATTTGTATCTGGAGAGCTTACCAAATAATGTTATAAAAGAGGCTGTATTCGACAGTATGCTGCTGGTTATTACTAGCCATGGATAGCAGGAGCTCCTTGTACATAATGCATCCCAGCACCATTTTACACTTACATATGAAAATATTATCAAAGTTCTGTGGAGTCTGGTAGTGATAATACTGCAGCATTATAACAAATAGGTAGTACTGTTATTTTATTATTTATTTTAGTACATCAAATGTATTTCATTGCTTACACTGTAGTAGCAGATCAAAACCATCTGCTGTCTTACCACTAGTCCGCCAGTCTAACTGAAAATCTCAGTTCATTTTCCTTGAGGCCACTATGCTTTAAGGCATGTGTACCAGGACTATAATCCAGCTGCTGAATGTTGATACAAGTCCAGACCTATGCTCATAAGTCTTTTAAATGGAAACAATACTCTTTGCCAAGGATCGGAACAGAGATAAACTCAGTTTGCTTTTCTCTCTTCCCTTTTCCCCCCATCCCCTTTACAGCTCCATCCCCCATCACAGTCATAAGGAAAGACAGGACATCCAGGAACAGCGTCTCTCTGTCTTGGCAAGAACCTGAACATCCCAATGGGATCATCTTGGACTACGAGGTCAAATACTATGAAAAGGTGGGAAGAAAGATCAAAGGGGAAGTTTTTGTGCTGGTAATACTGTAATGAAATTATTGCATCTTGCCTATGTTAAGGATTCAGGGACACCTCTGTTCACTGGCTGTCTGCCTCAATGACACCAAGTGTTGAAACTGTTCAGAACGTCATGAAACCATGAAATTGTTGTGTAGTCTACCAACTAGTTGGTTCATTCCCAAACAGAACAAATATAGAAAGTAATGCAGATAAGCTAAACTGTAATACTTGGGTTTTGTTTTGGGGTTTTTTTTTGTCTCGAGTACTGTTTGGTTAGTTCTGCTGTGCTGTCAGTGTTCAAGCACCTCTCTTATGAAGAAAGGTTGAGGGAGCTGGGCTTGTTTAGCTTGGAGAAGAGAAGGCTCTGGGGAGACCTTGTTGCAGCCTTCCAGTACTTGAAGGGAGCTTATAAACAGGAGGGAGAGTGACTTTTTACATGGGCAGATAGTGATAGGACAAGGGGAAATTGTTTTAAACTAAGAGAGGGGAGATTTAGGTTAGGTATTAGGAGGAAATATTTCACACAGAGGGTGATGAGACACTGGAACGGGTTGCCCAGAGAGGCTGTGGCTGCCCCCTCCCTGAAAGTGTTCAAGGCCAGGTTGGATGAGGCTTTGAGCAACCTGGTCTAGTGGAAGGTGTCCCTGCTGATGGCAGGGGGGGTGGAAATGGGTGGTCCTTTCCAACCCAGACCATTCTGACTTATTGTCAGCATCCATGTGCTGGTGCTTCCCTGTGGTGCAAGCATCTTTTACACAAAAATGTTTTGGTAAAGAGGTGGTCAATCTTTTATTGGCCAATTTGCACTAGGAAAGTTCCCATTTTTCATGAATAACTGAATTTTTCATAAATTGTATGTAAATAGCTACAAATCAAAGAAAATCTGCCTTTAAATAGTTTCTGCTTTATATTGGCGTTTTCTTGTATTTACAGCTGTTGATTTCTACACCCTATATAGATCTGTATTTAGGAAAAAACAATAATATTTGTCAGAGATTTTTTTTTTTTTCAGTAGATCTTACTGATAGAAGTGAAAAGGCCATAAATTGTAAAGATTGTGAAGAGCAGCATTAGCCATTTTTAGATTGATCAGAGGGACCTTTTGATAGAATATTTTGCTACTGGAGTTGACAAATTTTGAAAAAATATTCAGAAATAATGGTTTAATTTAGCATTTAATACTGTTCATATCTAAAAATCAGGTTTATATTTCTTTTGTACCAGGGAAGACGTGGTACCAATATCGACTTAGAAACTGGTGCTAAAAAGGTTCCACTAGTATTCAGTTAGTCTTTAGAAAGTTTTCTTATGGAGCATACCAGTGGGACAATATGGTATTAATAGTCTATGCCTGATGTTCTAGCCAAAGAATGAGGATCAGAAGGCCATATTCTGAAAATATTTCTGCCAAATTAATATATGATCTAACTTTGGGAGATTTTTTTTGGTGAGCACTTGAACTTTCAAAGAACTTGGTAAAAATCTAACTATGCGTAGTACTACTGATAAAAGGGGAAAAAGAAAGCTTCCTAAACATTTCAATTCAGTGTCACCTTATAGAGTGGTACCCTACAGACTTTCACTTTGTTTTTTTTCTGTTAATTTCATTGGGAACAGGATCAAGTCTGGATGCTGGGCTTGAGAAGTAAAAGAGAACAGGCTCGTACATCGTGTTGTCTTTATTTGTACATCCTCAGCAGTGAAAGGATGCAGGAATTATGTAGGCTCTCTTATTTCCAATTTTATTATTTTTTTTAAGGAAATAAAGTAGCTACTGCTTTTTAATAAGGCTTGGAAGAGCTCTTTACCTCACAAAGAGCCTATGCCTGAAAGATGCCAGAACTTCAACCTGTTTTGCTGAAGTTATTTCTCTGCATGATTAACTTCATGTTTCATTTGAGAGCTACCTGGCTGCTGAAAGCTACAGGTTGGCTGTACCTTTCTTTCCCAAGAGCTGCAGCAGCTCCATCTCAGCTCCACCTCCAGCCTCCCCAAGTGAAGTCCTTTCCTGGGCAGCTCCATGCGAGTGCCGTGGGGTGCCAGTGTGTTGCGCATCATGATGTTAGGGTGATCTCTTGGGTTTTAGTTGCTCCAAAGGGAGAGAATTTTCCCACTTGTGAGCATTTAGTTCATTTTAATTGAATGACTTGAGAAGTTTTATTTGGGTGGCTTTTGGTTGGGTTTTTTTTTTTTTGCATTTTTTTTTTTAAATTGTTCTATACTGAAATTTGCTTGTTTATTCAAGAAAATTGTCACCTTCCAGTACCGTTGTATGCATAGACTGAGCATGTGGCTACTATTCCCACCGAGTATATCCAGTCTTATGAAGCAACTGGTTGTCATAAGACAGCTTCGTAAGACATCCAGCCTTATGAGGCTGATCTTGCACATGTGTTTCTTCCCTTTGAAGTCTGTGATCAAGAGTTCATATGCACCAGACAGCTTTCTTAAACCAGAGAGCCAACTGCTTGACAATAGGAGCCAGACCGTTCAGAGCAAAGGGGTTTTTTTAAAAAAAACCCCAACCTTCTGACATTAGTGTTTTTAATGCGTGTTCTGTAGCCCCTTGGGGAGTCAGAAACCTATTCCTCAGGGTTTATGAAAGGTAACTAAGAAAGCAACTCTATTGTCAGAGGCTTTAATCCATTGCCCTTTTTAGGGCTGCAAACTGAAAAAGGTTGAAGACTACTATTCTGTACGTGTTAAACTTACCTGAGGCCAGAGCAGCCTGTGCTGGACTGTTACTCTTCATTTCTTCTCCAAATACCTTTGGAAGTTGCTGCTTTTCAGTCTGAGATCTCTAAGCAGCTCTTCTCCCCTCCTCTTTTGAAGAGAGAGCTTTCTTTTTAAACTGGTCCAGTCTGTTTGATTTTTCTGCTTCAGAAATCTTCTTGATTCTGCTTATCAAAAACCCCACTGCTGTTAAGTGGCAGCCGGGAGGAAATAAACCCTTCACAGTTCACAATCAGCGTATTTCTCCTGTTACATCAGGTATGGGCTGGTAGATGATTTATGTTGAGCCATTCTTTTCACTCCTACTTGTTTTTACTTGTCATACCTTTTGTAATCTCTTAGAAATTAATAAATACAGCATTAATAGAGTAATACAGGTCATCCCAGTTCTGTCATACACCTTACCCATCCATATGGGGTTTTTTTGTTTGTGGTTTTTGTTTGTTTGGTTTTTGTTGTTTTTTGTTTTTTTTTACTTTGTTCAGTTGTTTTTAAATTTCAGAGAATGTGTGATATCTATGGGCAACTGCATATTGTTGATGTTCAGGTTGTTAGAACAGATTTTTGAATAAAAAATAGAATGTCCTGTATCTAAATTATGATACTGTGTATTTTTTCTAATGCTTTATTGGCACAAAGTGTGTGGAAAATATTTCTTTTCTCCAAGGGTAATTAATTAACCTAGTCAGGTTTTTTTCACCAGTGATTTCACTTGTGTAACTAAGAGACAAGAGAGCTTTATTTGATGTTTCTAGAGAAATTAGCAGCTACAATTTTGGGAAACTGTTTTAACTTCTTGAAGTGAACCTATGGGATTTTAATGCATAACATTCTGAACTGAGAGTGACAGTTTTGAGACTCACTGTTTGGAATAGAATTTTATTTTCTATAAAAGACTATAGGGCCTGGTTCTGAGGCCCTAGTTACTATTTATTAAAAATATTTAAAAGAAATAAAATCCTATTTCAGAGGAATACTGTGTGGAACTTCTAGGCATTTATTTTGTGGTAGGGCATAAGATTTTATGTTGTTAATGGTACCAAATGACACCCCAGTTTGGTCCATCCATATAAACGCTGTGCTGGATTTTAAGTGTCTCGGCTGTCAAAGTGCACATATAACAAGTCAAGGGTTTTTCTAACACAAGGAGGTACTTTGTCTCCTCCTTGTCCTTGCTCATATAGTTATGTTCTCTGGAAGGAATATCTTGTCATGCAAAGATGTGAAAAAAAGCCATCTCCTAAATTCCATACACAAACTATTAATTGCTTCATTTAAATATGTGGCTTAGAATCACGATAACTAAATCCCACACACTTCAGTAAGGTGAAGCCTGCTGCAAACAGTGAGTGACGTTTAATTGCAGTTTCACATTACTAAAATAGATTTGCCTTTGCCATCATTGAAATTGTGTGCTCAGAAGACTGGTTAAAGCCAACAAATAATCATATGTAGTTTGTGCTCTTTCTTAAGCTGAAAAAGTAAATTATATACAAATGCATTTAGTTGCTTTTAAACTCTTATTGTTCTGGCTTTGAGGGTAACAGGCCATGTATACTTCACAAGGTTTGTAGGAATTGTCATGTTGACAAACAGTTCAAGCCTGGCAATAAGTGTGGGTTCCTCTTGAAGATGTGTAGTCTCGTTTTGGCGTCTCAAGTGTACATGCAGCTGATGGAGAAAATGTTCTTCCTCATAGAATATAAACATTTACTGTACTTATCTGAAAAAGGACATACTGTTCCCCCTCACGAGTACTGCCACTATAAATGTTAAATGTATCCCAAATGTGTCTTTTGTAAAACATAGTTTAAAATTATAAAATCCCATTTGCAAATGAGACACTAACAGTAGTGGGATTTGCTTCCCAGTAAAGACTGTGTCTGGTAAACTATTCAGAAATATTCAGGAAGAATGCTTTGTGCATCTAAGTTCAAATTTATCATCAAGCAGAGTATTTGATTCAAGTTCTGCTTGGCAAAGACTGACTCTCCTTTTTGTATATTCCTTCTACTTATGGCAGCTATAGTGCTGTATCTCTGAAGTTTTACTTCATCCCCAAGAAAGATAAACTTGGGCTTTCATGTGGTGTTTCACTGATTTGATTACTAGTAACATAAAAAATGACTTACAAAATATGTGTGTAAAAAGCTTACTATAAACCAAGATACCATGACATCCTCCATACCATCATTTTAAACGTTTATTTTCCAAGTTCCATTGCAGATTATTAACAGACAAGGCCATAAGTATATTTTCCCTTGCACATATGTATCTGCACGAGAAGGAAATATTTGTGTTTCATAAAAGCAGCCTGAAGTGAGATCAGAATGAATGTCCAATCATAGTATACACAAAAGATTCTATATTTTAAAGACAAGATTATTATGTCTTTGAAATTAAAATAGTTGCCAACATTTAACTGAATGGTGCGATAAGGAAAGCCTGCAAGTTATACTGCTAGGCCTTTGTTAGTTCAAAAATAAATAATTTTATGCAAACTTATTAGCTCCTTAGAATGTCTCCCTGTAGGTTTTCTTCCTGAATTTATAACAGAAAACTTTTCTGAGTAAGTATTGGGAAACTATGAGGAGGTCCAGTGCTGATTTCCCTTTTATTTTTAGTGTGCGAGGAAAATGGGTCATGGTAAATGCTTTTATAGTCATTCTTTGAAGACTAGGTCAAGCTCGTCCTGTCTGAGGTTTTAATTCTGGGTGGTAACTTTTAGGCACAGGCTCAGCTGCTTTTTCTTTGTTGGTGAGGTTTTTTTTGTTTGTTTGGGTTTTTTTCCCTTCACTGCAATTACTCATGTACATAATGTTGAATATTATGTGATGATTCTGGCAGTTTCCCTAAGTATGGTGCAAATTTTTTCTCTCTGTATCAAAGACTGACAAGATCAGGGCAGTTAGGCTTCCGTAGTACAAAAGTGAACATTTTCTGATGTCAGCCTACTATCTTGAAATAAACCTAACCTTCTTACTGTAGACAGCACTGCAGAGCAAGCACTAAAACAGCTCTAGTCACCTGAACTTTTCATGTGAAGGTGAGATTGCTTTGACAATGAGTTTGTTAAGTATTTTCCAACCTCTGTACTTGTGCATTGGCACTCTAGTCTTGTCAGATTTAGAAGGTCAGTACCTTGCAAGCTAATGTAATGTCATAAAACATAGTGGGAATTAAGCGAGATTGTTTGCATCCGACATAAGTTAACTCAGATCCTGCTTTCAACCAGGCAAAACTCAATGATTTTAGTGTATTTCAGTGTTCAAAGTAAAAGGGCAACATATGAAATTCCCACCACCTCCAGAATAAAAAAGTTCATCGTTGCGAACCTAAACAACTGAGATTCTCACAGTTCCCCACATGTGTGGCTGCTGTCCAAGATTTTTTCTGAGACAGTTCCAGCTGCCATTTTTAGGAAGCCAAAAAAGTTCTTTTGGTACAGGATGGCTTTAGTAAAATAAGCAATACCTCAGGCTCCAAATGCATGCTTAAATTTTTAGACTCTGTGCTTACATTGTGACTGAGACATAGTTTTATCAGAATTAGCTTTTTACACAGTGTGAAGTGTATCCAAACTTACTAAATTACAAAACAGTCTATTTCTTATTTTATATAAAAAGTCAGTAGGTCAGAAATATGTCACTATTAAGCGGAGTGTGTTTGTGAGCACATCATCTGTACTGGACACAAACCCTGCTCTTTAAGTAAAAGCAGTAAGGAGCCAAACACACATTTCTTTTTCTGGTTACTAAAGCCCAAGACTCATTCAGAAGCAAGTTCAGTGAGGTTTTACCCAAATGAGGATATCCAAATCAGTCTTATATTTTTTTATAGCAAAATAGAAAACCAATTATATTCGCCTGTTCGCAGGGCTGAGGTGAGGAGCCTAAGTGGAGTTTCTTTTCTGACTGTTATAAAGTTAAACACTGTCTTGTAAAACATGAGGCAGTAAAACCTCCATCCTGCAATAGCTCTGCAGGGCCCTAAAATATCTAAGTTGGCTTGTTACAACTGCCAGTTCAGTGAAGTAGGCAAATCTGTTTGATGGTTTTTAAATAACATTTTAATCTTCATTTTCTTGTTGTATTGCAGGCTACGGACAAAATGATACAAAGCCATTTAATGAAATGTCATATACTCAGCATGTCTAGTATTTGATTTACAGTACAAGACCATAGAAGCTCTAATGATTTAGATTTCTTGCTAATAAGGTTTTTAGCTGTTTTAAAATGCATGGCTGTACATGATTTTGTCCAGCTATAAATATTCCAAAAATATGCCATTGCTCTCCAGTTAATTTGTAAGAATTTTGTAGTACCAACAAAATTTCTGGTTTTTAGGGTGTGGTTTTAATCTGGTAATTTCTCTTCCCAAAAGCAGGAACAAGAGACAAGCTACACTATTCTGAGAGCCAAAGGAACCAATGTTACCATCAGCAGCCTCAAACCTGATACCACCTACGTCTTCCAAATTCGAGCCCGAACTGCAGCTGGATATGGGACAAACAGCCGCAAGTTTGAATTTGAAACTAGTCCGGATTGTATGTGTTTGTTGGAATGGTTTAAACTGATACCCTGCCTTGTTTCTGACTGATTTCAGTGGCTGCTTTCACCCCTTGTCTAGTTTAGTAAATGCGACTCATAACTATTTATGATTTGTCTTTCTGGGTAGTGTAACTATATAACTTTATATTTTATCGTTAAACTTGAAACATGCTATAAAGAGTCATATACCATGACTATCAAAAGTGGTATTTTCTTCCTTTC